TAAATTGGCGAATGTAATGGGATATGACGTAATCATTCGTGCATTGCCTATGTCTGTTTGGAATCATGGGCTAAGTCCTTACGATCACAACCAGTTTAGTGAGGTAATAGGTTTTCTCGACGGCTGCTTTTAATCTCTATCTTAAACTTATACTGTTAGGCTCACCCCAAATGTTAGAGAGATATAAACAGTTTTCTTCGGAACAGAATGAAAGATAGCTTTTGGTGCTGAGTGACTTTTGCATCTACTGACAAACTTTAGTGGATAACCATTTAACATAAGCGCGTCATTTAGCAACTTTGAGTTCTATTCAACCGTATCTGTGGTGCAGATTCATTGAATCCTATTAAACACGTACTTAACCAAGGCTAGCTTGTGTCGCAATGGTCAGAAACTGTAAAAATTTAAATACTGATCTGCCCACGTTAGCTTCCTATAAACTGACTGTCTTGTAGTTCGATCCTCCCTTCAACTTTAAAGTATGTCTAAAAGGAGCAGCCGGTCATTACTTTCTTCCCCATACGTCATTACGATATCATTCTGTACACTATTGAGTTTATCTGTTTACTGGGCAACATCAAAATCTTTATCCCATATATCTAATACATTATCCATTTATCTCCTATGAAAGGTTACCTCACTAATGAGCTTACTCGAGATATATCAGTATATGGCATAAATTCATCAGCTAAGAGAGGTCCCGAACGGCTACCCATAGTAACGTCATCACCTTCTCAAAAATGTTCACCTTCAAACGTGAATTGAACTTAACATAATAAAAGTAGTTTTTTCTACGGTGTTGTTAATTCATGTGTAGGTGAACCACATACAAATAATAGTCGTAATGGGTTGTTAGGTTTTAGCAAATCAAATTCCTCTTTGTTTATGATATTCACTTTAAGGAGCTTCACTAGATTGGGATTTACCCTGGATTCTCATTATGTAACATTAATTTTGAATAGAACTTCCGACAGGAACTTACTCTGATTATCAAGTATTTGACTGTCTTTTATTAATTTTCATATAAAATGCCTTGACAAGTATGTTTGTGATCAGACTGTTTTAAATGTATAGTGCAAATACATCACATTTTTAAGACGAAGTTCGTTTTTTCATTATTCTATCAAAATTTATGAACGGAACTTATTGCTTTACATTTTATCTCTATCGAATCATGATCTAGTTAAAATTATAATAAATAATAAATCCATCAATCAGTTAAGATTTTCTAATAAATCAAGTCATTTTATTCTTATTAGTTTAGGGATTGTGGAGATTGTTAAGTTTTTGATTGAAATCATGGGTCAATTGAAGCTAGATCACCATGGAAAACCTGGGAGCACTGAAAGATCGTCTCGTCCTAGTATGTGCTCACTAGTGACTAGCTTCGTGAGAAAATTCTCGGAGTTCTGGTAGGAAGCTGTGACCAGTGGAGCTAATCTGTATCGGGTAGAAACAGGTGTCTACCTCAGTACAATGGAAGATGGTCGCGCAATTTCGTAGATTGGTTGAGGTTAGACATTAACACCATTGGATGCCGGCTCAGTAGTCTAGTTGGTTAAGTGCCTGGCGCGTGACTGATAGGTCCTGGGTTCGAATCTCTCATGGTGCGGGATCGTGGATGCGTACTGCTGAGGGGTCCCATACTAGAACGAAAAGGCCGTCCAGTGCTTCCAGGTTTTCCATGGTGATCTAGCTTCAATTGACCCATGATTTCAATCAAAAACTTAACAATCTCCACAACCCCTAAACTGATAAGAATAAAATGATTTGATTCATTAGAAAATCTTAATTGATTGATGGATCTATTATTTCTTATAATTTTGGCTTCATCATTTTATTCTTCACTGTTTGAATGACAAACTTAGTGTGTTTATTCTTTTCCAATGTTAACGGGTAAAAAATAAACACAGGAAAGAAAACAGTATATGAATAAATATCCGCTTTAATAAAAAGCTTTATTTTTTTAAAGTAACATATTAACTTGAATTCTAACAAAACTATTCAATATTCTAGTTGAATAATGTTGTTTTAGCTGTCATGGTAATTTTATATTACCAAAATAAAAGAAAACAATATTTCTATTTATTGACGAACTAATAATTATTTCTTTAAAAATCGTTAAATTTTTCTCTTCTCCTCTCTCTCTCTCTCTTCTGTTTAGTTATTTAAGTATAAAATCTTTAGGAAAAAAAAGTTTGTTATCATGGGCATAATTTCTATAGATCGATAAGTTGACTGCAAACATTTACAGTGAATATATATATATATTGCCGTGAAAGTAACTAGAATTGGTAATCATTTTTTGGTATAGAAAATATAGTGTTAAAGTTTCATAGTTCTTAACGAAAGCAAAAAAAATACACATATATCAGGTTGTTTAAGTGATTTAAAAGTGTCTGATCTATTACGTAAATTCAATTCAGAATCATAAGGCAATAAGAATATCAACAAGTGAAATAAGAGAATTTGTCTGGTATTAAGTAATACGAATAAAATCACCAAAGATGTAACATACTGTAGGTCATAACTTTTTAAGAGATTTAATTACTTAAAAGCCAAACTAACAGTAAGTAGGTTTATTATTCCACTGAAGATATTAATGTATTTTGCTTTTCTGAGTGCTGATTGGAAATGATAATCATGATATTGCATTTAAGGTAATTTTCAATGTTACAATTAACGGTTCTTGAGTGATCAGTATTTCACTAACTTCTTTGAACAGATAAATTCTTCAAAGATTTTTGTCGACTAACATAAATAACGTTTACTTTACCAAAAGAAAAAAATAACTACATTTTATAGTCATATTATTGTCATCTAGTAATCTTTTAACGGCTTTATTGTCACGAAAGTATAAATCTATAAATTAAAGCACGGTGTTATTTTCCTTATTTCTCCTGGACGATATTTTATAGTTAAATAAAAACAAATTTACAAAACTTTTGGCTAAAAGATACAAACATTTCGTGATATTAAGTTTAGTTGCCCTGTCGAATTATGCTCATTTGTTATAGAAATTCAAATGAAGACTAGATTATTAAAATCTTTTTGGAGAACGTTATATACTGTCGAAGTTATTTACATGTCCGACTATTTTTCTTACTCTAGCTACCAAATAAATCTTATCAGTTCTCTAACGAATCAGTGGCTAGTTGATAATCTGACCGAGATCAAAGCATATTTTTTCGAAAACCAAATGACGATGACAATTTTTTTATAAACTAAGAACGTTCACATATCACCTAAGTTTTGGTATTTTATTGTTGTTGACAGGTAACAGAAATACCTGAGCGAAAAAAGGAAACTTAATAAGAATAAGAGTGGGATCAAATAAATTTACTATTTTAAACGATTGTAACACGATCAGATATCTTCATTCGAAAATATACATTAGTTTGCAGTATAACAACGGAGAAATGTTTCGTCAAAGTAAATTCTCTTAAAGTGAAACCAGAAACATCCATCAAATGAATTTTAATGGCGTTTAACTCCATTAATTGAAATATACGACATATGTGAAAGCAAACTGGTACATTTCCTTAATAATTACTTATATTTTCGAAAAGCTTATCATATGTTTGAAAAAAACTATTTACTAATATTTAATACCATTCTAATTACTTCGTCTACATTGGATCTATAGTACATCAAGTAAGAAATGATGATAACCAATCAAACTATAGCATGTTTTCAATTATTAGTATGGTGGATAAAATGATAAACTTCACTACGCATTGAATTAAAATATTTATTTTTACTTAACAAAAAAAAATGATTCCTGAGAATGTATTTTTTTCTTTGACGAATAATAACAATTCTCACTTATCTTCATTTTTGCGAAAGCTAATAAATTTTGGACTGTTTTTTTTTTGTTTTGTTAGAGAGCATCTTTGAATACATTTATGAAAAATTGAATAAATTGTTTTTCCATCAAATATAAACAATTTCTGTTTACTATTTCACTAAATTAAACGTAAGGAAAACATGAAGAAAATTTACAGGTTGCTTTACTTTCCATAAAACATTATGAGTGGAAGACATCTTTATCAACAAGAACAACAACAACAAAGAGTGGATATCAAAGTAATGCAAAAATCATAACTGATTAGGCTATTGTTTGTTTTTCTTTTATAGCTACAATGATAAGAAAGAGGCAAGCCTAAATTCATGAAAGTAATGGTAAAAAGAAAAGAAATGAATAATATGATAGAAGAAATAATCTTTCACACATGATAAAGTGCTAGTGGAACAATATCAGATACTAATTTAAGGAAAACGTTTAAAAATTCAAGAGGAAATATTTCACCAGAACAAAAATCGAACCATTCTACATATGTACTTGTCATAAGTAAAACAATATTCTATTATACTAACTTCAACAATATATATATATATATATAACTCAAATACAAAGTAGTTTTTCATAAAAACATGAAAGTAGATTAAAGTGAAATAAAAAGGAAAATTGGAAACTTTAAATAGTCAAGATAAACACTTCAAAATTACATAGAAGAATATAAAAACCAAAATGGTGAGAATGAAATAAATCATAGAAATAGTATGAGTTATTAATTCTATTGAAATAATTTGAAGAAATACTTGGTAATTATATATATATATATATATCATTGGTCCAATATATCCACAAGATTATCAATAAAAAGTAACCACAAAATCGAAAACAAACAGTAATGAGCAGAAATATAAGCAAAATGAATTAGGAATAATTTAAGGCAGAATAATTCAAAAAATCAGTTTATGGTATACCTCTTTTTAATCTATGTAGAACAAGAGATATTGCAATCATTAGGAGTTATTACTGTTTGTTTATAAGACTGATGTGTCAAAACATGTGAGCAGCAGTTAAAAATTTGGGTATTCAATGCGTAGCAAAATGTTAGTAAGTATGCATGCATGCTCAGTCTGCACAACTTATGCGTCTACTCTCATATGTATTGCTGCTAATTGCTACTTACTTACTTCCTATATACTAGTTTCTATTTTTTGATTTTTGATTCCAGAAGATTTTGTATTTTTTCAAATGAATCAGAACCCATATAATCCATTTGCCCACGTTCCCATGCCAATTGTCTTTCAGATTCATCACTGGCTTGAGTCAAGCTTGAGGAAGATTGATTTATCTCGATCTGAGCCAATTTACCCACAAAATCGCTCTGTTAATTTTTTTCCGGAAATATATAAAAAGACAAGTAAACCATTTCACTACTCTATAAAAAAATAATAATTAATGTTAGAATAAACCAACTACAGTTAAAATGTAATGGCAGAAACATAGGTGATATAACGACTTCAGAGCATCGACAACATCCACAGAATAATTCTTACCTGCAGCGTTGATAAAGTCTATAAAAAGTCAATTAGGACAGACAAATATCATTTCAACGGTTGATTTTTGTAAAGGAAAACAAAAATGAACTTTTCAACAAACCAGCTATATTCAAAATAACAAAAGAATATCCATGTAAAATGTCTCCTTCCATTCAAAACTGTAAATAGTAACCTCAATGAAATATTGATGAAACAAATTCGCTTTCATAAGCCCAGACGGGTGAACATGTGAGAAATACGGTTAGAAGCCTCCAACATAAAATTTCGTTAGTAAAGTGTGAGTTTTATTATTATTGTAAAAGTTAAAGCGTTGAGACTTCCATCAAATTAGGAACATCACAAACGTGACAAATTCCATTTTAAAACAATACTGTGTAGACAAGGCATTTTAAAAACAAGGAGAGATGTAGACTTATTTTGTGTCAGTTTAGAAATAGTGGTAAAACGTGGTTCCTTTATCTGAGATAAAGCTATTAACTTTAAAATAACACGACGATAGAGTTACAGTTGATGGGTTTGCAGCATAGTAAATCTGCCCCCCTCTATCAATACGTTTGATCTCACAAACCAATAAAATTTAAGCAACGGTACTTACGTAACTTCTGATGAAATTATTGTTTTTGATAATGAATGATAACTCACATTAACTGTTCAATACTCTTGTGTGGTAACTAGCTTTTCATTTAGTATTATTTATTGGCAAAGAGTGAAACTTATTCCCATAAACAAAGGATAGAGATTATTACATACAACAAGTGAGTGTAATTAATTATGCTCGACTCAATTTAAGGATTATTATTGATGAATTTTGAAAGAATTTGTAATAGTATCAAGTGAATATGTGTTATTTACGATAGGAAAAGTGCTCAACATGTTATATGATCCCATTAATTCCAAATATCTACTAGCTACTATACTATTTAGAATAGAAACTTAATATATGGGAAGATCTATTTTAGATCTGAACCAATAAATTAAGTAAATGATACTATTAAATATCGTTTGTGATCTAACATCCCAGTGAACTTAGTTTTTCCTCTAAACAACTGATTCCCACAAACTTGTATCTAGTGTAAATAAACAGCATAAACTGATCATATGAAGCATCCACATAGGTAAATTTTAGGCTCTTAATACGACAGAAGTTAGTGCTTAACCTGACAGGTAATAGGCTACCTTAATTCAGAAGTTTTGATAAACACTTCTCACATGTTATAAAACACAAAGAGAATTTGAAGGGATTTGGTATTATCAAGTTATTCAGCCTTTCAGTGACAACCGAATACAAAATTGGAACTTTGACAATACTCACTCAGAAAGTATGGTTTTGAACATGGAGCTATTGACCTTACTTATAACACACGGTAAATATAAAGTAAAACTAAAAAACAGTTTTCAGTCGTTATTAATAAATAACACAATTAAAAAATTAAACTCTTTAATATTCCTCAAAGGTTTGAAGAGATTCATTTTTCAACAAGATATGATTATTTTTGGTTTGTAGAACCATTCTGTCTGATAAATGATACAAGTAAAGTTCCAAATTGTTATATTTGGTTTAACAGTGGTGTATTGAGGGACGTATTCATGAGTAATTCACTTACCTCACCAGGGGTTAGTTTTGGATGAACGTGAGTCATAAATAAATTCCACCAGTGCTGCAAAAATTCAGGTGTTCCAACACTTGTGGGATCACGAACAATGACTTGTCCGAATTTGTCCAGTTCACAGTGCCAAGGTTTCTCAAACCCAATAAAATGAACAACACGAATTTTATTACGAAAATGAATAAAGGCAGGTGGATAGGAGTAAAATGCTTGGCTGATGACATTGTAAATGAACGGTAAATGAAGACGAATATCTTTGGTTGCCCAGTCGGAGAAGAAGATATTCAGCAGACCCTGAAGATAAAAATGTGGAAAAAAGGTTGACTACTTTTGAAAAATCGGAAATCATGACTAATTTTTCACAATCCACACGTACATTTTCAATCCAACATTAAATACTACATTTTCATATCAGTAACAGGTATAATGCCTAAATTATTTACACGTCTCCTTAATATGAAGTAATAAAACAAAATATTTAAAACTTTTATTTTAAGGTGCTCGATCACCTTAATATTAGTTCAGATATGTGACTACTTCGCATGTTGTTGTCAAATCAAATATAAATGATTCTCTCTAACTTTCCGAGATTGAAATTCTATGATCTAGATTCACAAGAAAGAAACGAGTGGACAGACAACTATTGTGGACGCAAAATGGCCCAGTTTTAGCACTGAAATAGAATAAATCAACAATCCCTAAATCTGAATAAGTCTTGTGAAAAGGATTTTATTACGGAATCCATAAATTATGTTGCAACTATATTATTCATTAAATATTATCAAACTACATGACGGACTAACCATATGCACTTAGCAATCTACACCTAACTTCAGTGTAACCCATTCGGTAGTCTCATCATCTGTATATCAGTCGGTCACACATAACGTAGAACTGGCGTACATATCCATCAGTTAAAGTTGTCACAACAAATCAGCACAGTGGGAAGCCAGAGTAGTAGAATTCGTAATAGTATCGATATACGCTAATCCTGTAGAAACATTTTAGCAAATAAAATCAGCCCAACGCACAAAACTGGATAACATGCATTCAAATTCAAGAAAACTTGATTACTGACGTAATACAAAAACAATTTTGTATTCGTACCCTCCTGTGTTAAAACAATAATAAATCCCTGAGCTGGATGATTTGGTCGTGAGACTTCCATTGGTCTTCTAAACATCACCATCAGTACAAACTTGAAGTATAAGTGAAGGATCCGCATTTCTCTACATATGACTCAGCTTTTCCTGTCAACCTTCAACATGTTGTTATCTGCTACTTTATTTTGATTCTGATTCTTGGTCCTATATTTGTCCTTAACCTTTTCTGACTCACATGAACTACAAATCTTCTCCATCATTTTAAAATCATATGAGTAAAGCGCGCTCCTCGTCGTCCGAAAACGGGAACTTTTTGCCAAAAGACAGGCTTCCACTCGAGAACTTTACCTTATCCAAGAGTATCTTCATCCGCATGTTTTGCTAAAAAGTGTAAGATACGGAACACCGATCAACTGACCAAGTGGACGATTAATAGCTAACCAAGGTGAAAGGAAAATGGTACACCTTATGGTAAGTTATGAACATTACAGAATCCAAAAATACCAACACATCATGGATGACCAAAGAAGGACAACGGCGATCGAGGTATCAAGCAGATAACACAGAGAACAAAGAAGAGACACCCTTAAAGAAAAACCTATCAATATTTGAAAGTCACCCACAGAAGAAAACACAAACAATCGCGTGGTCAACCTATCAAAACAACCTCTGAAGAACAATTCCAAAAAGATTAGATTACAATACAAGTGACGCCTCAGAACCAGAATTTTTCGCCGCACTAGAATTACCACTCAAAACTGCCAGAATAAATGAAGAAACTCAACAGGATATAAGCCAAACTATAGTACCACCAACTCGAAAGAAGAAAGATAACACCTAACCGACCGCACAAGAACGAAAGGCCTTAAAGAAACTCAGAAGTAGGAAATATATTGTCATAGTTCTAGTGGAAAAAAGACTTACTATAAGGAAGAGTATATCAGTAAAGCCGACGAACTACCTGAGAATAAAAGCATATATAAAACAATCAACACAAGTAAATATCAAGGATCTTAAACAAACTTATTAAAGCAGGTCAAATATCAAACCAAGATCAATGAAGAATGAAATCTAGTAGACCTGTATTCCGACTCTACGGTAGGCCAAAAATATACAAACCAAACATTCCACTAGGTTTAATCGTATCACGTCCCGGAACATCAACACACAAAGTATCAATAAATTTCAATATTTAAACATTAGGTGGATCCATCCAATCACTCCATCAAACCTCCCATACAATTCATGGGTAGGACTAAGGAGATTTAGATCAACAACGACAAAATAATTATATGCACCGACGTAGCAGCCTTACTCACCTCAACTGAATCAAGCTTGGCAAAAGAAACTTTATTCCTGCTCCTCAAAAATGATACAAATCTCCCTAAGTAAATGAGGCTTCAAAGTCTACTACAACTCATCTATTAAAGTCTGACAATATATTTTTGACTCAATAAAATCTACGAATAAACAAAAGGAACACCGATAGAATTACTAATATCAGGACTTATCGCAGAATCAGTAATGCAGAGACTGAAAGCTTCGATTTCACCAATGTTCAAGTAATAAATGTAGATTCGTTTTGTGGACAACACATTCATCAACACCAAAAAGGAAGAGCTGAAGAATAAACATAATCTGATCAGCAACGTCTTCGATTATGTAAAATTCACAATAGAAAAGGAGTCGAACAACAAACTATCATTCTTGGGTGTACTGATCACCAGAACCAATACAGGAAAACGGAGGACTAAAGTATATCGGAAGCCAAACTACACAGATCAAATTCTCAACTACGGTGGCAACAACTCAAGGATTCACAAAATCAACCGCGTACAAACTTTAGTCGAGAGGAGGGGTAAATATACTGCAGAGGGAAAAAATGTCTGATGAATATCTTCCAAAAGAACGGCTCACTGCACAAATTCAGAAACAAACGTCAAGCCAACTCATCTGTAGAAACGAAATCGAGTATAGAAACTAGCAAACAGACCATTCTGCCACACGTAAAAACATATCAGAAAGTACAAAGCGATTATTGAAGGCGTAAGGCACAATCAGCAGAACCACTTCGATAAATCCAATCCAAACCAAAAGATGAAATAAAAAAAGAAGAAAAACTGAACATCACCTACGAAATAAACCATTATGATTACATAAAACACTACATAGGATAAAATGGACGACCCCTCTATCTTCGTCTGGATGAACATCAATTGGCGTTTATACGCCATGACATACCTTCGGTTACATTAATCAATATGGACAACTATGGACACATTTGACTGGACAAATGTTGAAATCATGGAGTGGAGGATTACCTAAAACACTAGGGAGTTTCTAGAAGCTTGGTGCTCAAGTCAGTTGGCAATCAACGAACACAGTTAAATCTATCCAGTCCATCGACGAATCGGAAAACTCGTAGACAAATATAGGACTGAGGATCAGATCAAAAGGAGATACAAACAAAATAAAGAAACAGACAACAACAGGTTAAACGTCGACAATAAACGATCGAGGTCAATAGGATTAGCTGAGTAATGTGTAAATGAATTCGAACCCTTCACTTCTACCTCAAGTTTGTGCTAATGATATCGTTCAGAAAAACAACGAGAGCTCCAAGATCAAACCACCCAAGTCATAAAACGAAACTTCACTGAAAGCATACACCTAAGCAGCAAATTTTCTCCACTATCACGGTAAAAATATTAAAACTTGCTTGATCGCCCCCATCAAAGCTTCCATGGCTAACAGCAAAACTTAGTATCTTCTTGTATGTTTCCAATGACGGTTTGAAAACAAAAACTCCGGAATTGAAACAGTCTGGCCAACCTGGATCCGGAGCAGCACTGAGTTCTTCCCGCTCAAATAAATCATCAATATTTCTCAATACCTAGTATAGAACACACAAACGGAAAACAGGCATTCATTTCAACGTTTTATTTGTTAAAAGTCAGACATAAAAATGGACTACGCCTGTTAAGTTACAACATGGTGTTTTTAATACAGAATGGTCAGTGAATAATAAACTACAAACTAAAATAATGTAGTAATTCAGAAAATTATGAATCTATAAAACATGAGAAGTAATGAACAAAGTAGATCCAAAGTCTGTTCGACCTATGTAAATGCAATACGAACCACTGTATAAGAGAAAAAACAATTAAATGGTCTAGTGGTAGAATATTTTTAGACCTTTGAACGTTCTCGCTTACTATCAAAGTAAAACTTTGCACGTTATCAAGAAACAAGAAAGTGTAAACAAAACTTAAAAGTCAGTAAATATCAAACTAGACAAGAAACGAACGAGGGGACTAAGCACTTCTTTCACGAAGGTAACAAGCTCCTATTTTGTAGACTCAAGCAAGAAAATGTTATCTTACATATAACTACGTCTTCGTTTAAAGTAAGATTAACACAATGATCACTAAATCAATTCATTCACACTATATCGTAAGTTTAGTGAATCACCATATGTAGTACAAAACAGAGCAGATTAAAAACCCTCTCTGTATAAGAGCAGCAATACGTGTTTTTTATCACTCCCATTACAGATACTCAGTGCTCAATATAAGAATGTCGTATATTGAAAAAAAGACGTCATAGTTACTGAGATAAACAGTAAGACAAAAACATAATTCACTTTTGGTGCACAAATGTGAGATAAATAATGAAGATATGTGCTGTGTAAACCTATCATTACACACTTAAAATGAGACTTAGTGTAAGTCAGAGAACACGTTGGGTGAAGAAACTTTGAATAAAACGAAAGGAACATAAAAGGTACCAATATATTACGACATCGTCAATGAGTACAGAGAGCAAGGGATGTCACGCGTTTTTAGTTTGTTACACACTAACTTACAAATAACACTAGAACGACTCTTCAGATCAATCAGTTTAGGGTCGTTAAGATTTGTAGCTGGCGAATGACTCAACCAAAGCAGTTAATCAGTTCGAAAAACTCATTACAGAAGCATAAAATTACAGTATCACTTTGACTAATGCTAGCTATTTTATTTAAACCCTAATAAATCTCCGTGAAAGTGAGTTGTATGTTAAAAATCAATATTAGTTCAAATATCAGCAACCAATAATGTAAATTACCATAGTGTCAGCATCCATAAAAACAGCTTTCGTATACTGAGTTAATCTCCAACAATGAAGCTTTGTGAAGGTTACCCCCAAGTCTGGTCTCGAAAGTAATGCTAAGTTCGTTTCGTCTTTGCTATCAAGTACATCAACGAATTCTACATGGTCAAATACAGACCCCATAATATCTCTAAGAATAATACAATAACAGCAATTGATTCATACAGCATTTGCTTTGAAACCTGTTTTGTTGTCAAACACACAACCTGTCTCGTCGTCTTTACTTCACGCAATGAATGTGCCCAAACAAGAGCACCACATGCGTATTCATCATTTGTTGCTAAAGTAACGAATGCTTCACACACTACAACTTAATAGCAAAACATTATATACTTACTGTTACTTGATAGGAAAGGAAGATTTATAAAGTGTAAGTTGCAACTCCGTCAGAACAGCTGAAACTTGTAAAACTACTCGTACCCTACACGTTTTTTTATCATGTAAATAGGGTATTAAAACTAAAACCATCCGTCCAATATACAATTAAGTAAGTAAGGATTTTTAACTTCTGTGTTTTGAGCCCGTAATATGAACAAAAATCTCAATCAAAATATTACACTGCCTTTGAACGAATACTTGATTTCAGCATGTGTGGTATATATTTACATTAATGCTTTCATTCTCAAGGTAAATTTAGATTCGTATTCGTGAATTGAGGATCAAAGGACTACATTTTATGTCATCCAGTTTATGATAGGCTTCAGAGAGTGTTTAGTTTTTCCCTGATCGAGTTAATTGAGGGGGTGAATACTACTTCTTCAAGTAACTAGTCCCAAGTGTTAACGACTCGATATGAAAACTTGTATGTTATGGTATTTTGTTCATTCTTGGCTTTTTTACATTCCTGTATGTCCTCTGAGTTCTCTCGATCTGACAGCAAGAAATAAAAGATATGTAAGCTTCAAAATCATTTTTTGATATTTCATACATAAAGGTCAAATCACCTCGTAATCTGTGGTAAGACAGAGTAAACAGGTCTAGCCTTTCAAGTCACTCTTTGCATGGTAAAACCTGGAGTTCTGGAATTGCATGGGTATCTGCCCTTTGTCTTTTTCCAGGTTATCCGAGTCACCGTTTCAACAGGGGCTTGCAATCTGAATGCAGTTTTCAAGTTTAGTTCTCACTAAGGTTGTGTTTACTATAGTGAACATTGTAGTATCTAACCTGATAAATCTCCGTCTTAAATCCCGTAGCGTTCCTAACCCCTTAGATGAAACCTCCCGGCAGTGAGCCATGGTCTTAAGATAGTGACCCACTGTCACTTCAAGATCCCTGTGAGACTGGACCACGGGTACAGGCACTTCACCTATTCTGTAACTATTAACCTTTGTATCCCCAAAGTGCATGAAGACATACTTGGACGTGTTAATGGACATCAGCCATTTTTCTGACCAGCTGATCAGAACATATAAGTGCGCTTCAAGTGCACACACATTTGGGTCTTCTCTGATTTTTCACTAGATTTTACATCATCAACGTTTAGTAGCTAGTTAAATCCACTATATGCGTGGACTAAACAAGCTCCCATGAATATGAGAGGCGAAAAATATCCACGGCTGAGGATAAGCGCTTAGCAGTCGCGTGATTTATTATAAAAACAGAACTTCAGGCATAGATATTTTAGTGGATATCAGTACTGCGCTTAGTTTCATTCCTCAGAATAAAGCCAAATTTGGTCGAAAATTTTCCCTACTTACACTTCAAGCTACCAACTACATTGAAATCACGACATTTGGGCGGAAATCATTGATTCCGAATTCGGGGTTTATGTTGTCGTTTCTCTGGATATTTACTCTATTGGACTTAGACATGAAAATACTGCAAATAGACTTCTGGTAGGGATATGAACTTCTAGTCGACACCAAGAAACGACGTTTGACACTTGACGAAACTTCGATTTACATATAAGGCAGAGGAAGTCACATCGCTCCTGTACATATGGCAAAAGCTTCTCCAGCGACCAAAGCAAAGCTCTGGAATACACACGCGAGAAATCCAAACCTTACAAAATCCAACCCTTAACCTTCCAAACGTACGCCGAGAAGAAACGAAGAATTTTCTACTGAGGTGAGTCTGGAGCGCAGGCTACCTGAATCTGTCCGCAAAGAAAAGAAAGCAGTGAGTAATAGAACGAAATTTCGGTGAACGCCTATAACAAACCCAGCCAGTGAACTCCCGAAATGTTAACGAATTCTGAAAATGGTCCAGGCCTACTTGACTAGATCACTAGATAATCTATAATGTTTGAGGTCCTTTACAGCATGTACCATTTGGCATTCACTTACATCAATAATATGTAATATATCACAGAAACATAACCACTAAACTCCTATTCCAAATATGAAAAACGTAATAAACATCATAGAATTATAGTCTACTTCGGTAATAATACTATGAAAATAATAGACCTAATACTAAAATTGATAATATGTCACGATGTATAAACCAATAACTGGGTATCGTCACAATACAGTCAAATTGAAAAAGTCCCGCTGAAGCAGCCGAAAGGCAAATTTAGTGAAAATATCCGTCATGCGTAAAGTTATCTGCGAGAAAACAACACTTTGCTTGAGGAACTGATTATTAGTCAGTTTATCAACTGATTTTGCTTTCAGATTTATCACTTATATCAATCATGGTACATGATTGTTAAATCGGGATATAACGAAACCATTACAATAACGACTCACGCTCTTCACCGGGTTTAAAGTATATGAGAATTGACAGTGTCGGTTTAGATGCTGAACACTTTTGATTCTTCAGATTACGTCCAGGTTTATTGACTCGGAGATGTCGGCACTTTCAAAAATGGCTTGAAAAAAGTCACTGAATTTGGGCTCCCTGGCTATATTAGAAATCTTGATGCGGAAGTATTCGTCAAAATAGTGCATGACAATTGTGAGATTACAAGAGTAACAATGGGAACAACTAATAGCGTTGAATTGCTCTGTAACCTAAAATATATAATCTATAAATGATACACTTTTCCTAGTAGTATGTTTTCACAATCCTCAAAGCTGAACATTAGATAACTAGGAAAATGCCCATTCAACAATTAACATGAATAGAAGGTCAACAAAGGATAACTTGCCTTTACTCACAATAAGTATATTAGTCTATCTCTAACCTCATTGTGCTCTTTAGAAACGCCGAACAAAAATCGCGAATTCCTACGATAAGACTGGTCAGAATAGACAATGAAGTGACAAGTGTAATATCAATTTACCTGAAATGAATTCAATGATTTACGATAGGGTTAAATATTATTGTAACAGCACTTACGACACTAACATATTTTTGCTACCAGTACCCATGTCACGAGTACAGCCCAGATTAACACTTTCGTTAGCCAACGTGCAAAGTCTAATAGTCTCTTCGGACGAGTAATGTATCACTCGAACAACAAAACACTAAGTCAATGGGAGTTAGGCTTCGGGCACCTTTCATATGCCCTGAGATTTAAGCGAGTACACATCTTGTGATACCACTCCTTACACTCACCGCATTGTATTCCATTCGCTACAGGAAACGTGCAATATGTTTGTCTACATTTGTGAGAGGAGCAGACCATCTTAAAAGCTAACTGAGAATAGTGACACAAAAATGGATATGCAGAAAATCTCAAACCTTAACCAAAATAAATGAAGTCAAAGTCGATTAAGTATGCTTTGTTGTAATAAATACACAAAAGCAACGTCGATACACACAAGTATGATAATACTTTAACTGAAATAAATTCAATGAAAGTGGAAACAGTGGCAGTTTACAATGAAAACAGTAAATTTAACTCAACGAGAAACAATACCACTGCTTGTTTCAAATGGCGCGCCAAGTGATATTGAGACGGAATATGAAGTCGGGAATATCATGGTTTCGTGAAGGCAGGTGTACATGCTGCTTCCAACCGTGTATGTTTAAGACAATAAATACACTGAACCAGAGTGTCTTCCAGTTGACGGTGGAAAGATTGAAACCACCACGAATGATTTTTCAGTCTAAAATAAGAGAGACGGCCCTATCAAATAACTAACTTTTAGTCGTTCATAGCCCTAAGTCTATAATATGCACTTGTTCACAGACACTGAAAACCATAGGACACACACAGGGAACCGACAGTACCCAGAGATCTTTACGTGGGGTACGTCTGACTAGCACCAAACCTACTCATGGCACTGAGCTTTTTGAAGTGAACCTCGACTCCGCTTTTGCGTCCTAATTAAAAGGACAGTAGCAGTTTTCCTCGCTGGGTAAATTCTATTGTTTGATTGTTTATTACGTATCAAAACTACCATTTTCACTTTAATTATTTCGGTTAAAGTATTCGATTAGAGTATTGTTTCTGTCGCTATAGCAGCTTGTCGTCCGTACTTTTGAGTACTTTGTTTTCCATTGCATCTGTTAGTACTTTTAGTTCTAACGATCTACAGCTTTCCAATTTTTTGGTCATATATCATTTTTTGTCTCTGAATATTATTGTATCTAATTCTTTTTTTGGAAAAATGCCCAGGTTTGATGACAGTGCAAAAAAAGAAATTGCTTATGTCCGGGTTTTAGTTATCCCGTTGAAAGTGGCATGCAGTGCGATGAGTGCAAAGGCTGGTACTACGAAGTTTGCAGGAATTTAACGCTTCCAAACGGTTCGATAAAAACCGTTGCGTATGGCTTCGTCAACAGTGCTGTTGGGGCACAAACAGCTTGCTAACCGAGGCCATCTCATTGGTAAATCCTGAAAAAAGCGTTTTGACAAGCGTGGTCGAAACACATCGGATGGTACTCGCTCTGTCGACACGCAAATCGGTGTGAAGCAAACTCAGGTGAGTTCAAAAACAGCTGACTCACACCGATCAAAGGATGAAAAACAGTCTCCAAAGAGGTCTGTCTTAGCTAAAAACTCAAGAAAACAATTTTCTTCTGTCACCCGTTTTCTAAATGGTATCCAGCAGGAAACGCAGAGAAGCTGCGATCGCAAGGCTTTATCGATTTCTAGTGGGAAACATAACCTGACCGTTCAAGTCGTCAACAACCCTCCGGAACTCCGCAGTATGTTTGACACAACTGTGGTTGCTTCTCCAAACAACGTCGACGAACGAGTACAGGTTGTAAAGAAGAAACGACATAATAATATGAAGGGGAATCTTGCCCCCATAAAAGTAGTCGAGAAATCGAAGGCCGATCACAGTGACAGAACAGTTATTTTTTCATAGAATCAAAGAAAGTGAAAGCTCTGAACCAAAAACTCGTTGTGAGCATGACATTGTGCTGGTAAAACAGCTACTTAATCAACTCATGCCTCTAAATATCTATGGAGTCACCTTGCTAAAGGTGTACAGATTAGATTCAGAGAAAACCAACTACGCTGATTCCCGGAATAGCGAAGCTTCCTATGATGCACGACTGGCCAAGCGAAACCTATTCCTGTTATCATATCGTAGAACTAGAGGCGACTTGATTACAGTTTTCAGATTGCTTATTGATAAATTTGCACCTGATATGCCCTCATTTTTCTTGTCTTCCAATACAGAGAATTTACGAGGACACTCTAAAAAAGTTTACAAGCTCAGAACAAATTACCTGTCAGCCGACTATCGACTTTCCCATCGGATCATCTGTAGTGGCATTGGACAATAGCCACACAATCCACAAAGCTGTGAACACGAGACTACTCAGGAAATAGATATTCAATATTTAACGCGGAGAAATCCCTAACGATGGAGAAGGCGCGAACAATGAATTGAATGGACTGGGTTTGATCGTATGGCATGGCTCGGCCATGCAGGCGTGGTCCATCTCAATGTTACTTTATATCTTCTATTCATATTAAATATATTGTTCTTTCTCTAGCCTAACCTTGTTCTACATCATGTATTGGTAATTGATACGATACAGTGAGTTGGTGTAGTCGATGGTGTGACTTCCACGTAAGATCTTATAGATTAGGCAGTTATATCATGACAAATCTACAAATTTAGGATTAGGTCTATTATTAGAGCAGTACTAATATTATAGTAAACCATAATTCTACACATCAACGAGTGTAATTCATTACCTCAACGCGTGGTTGAGGCTCCATCCGTCGACCCTTTCAAAAGAAAGTTGAATCAACTGAGAGACCACTATTGTCAAGACTAACGCAGACCTCCTGTCCTTTCCAAACTGAAACTGAAATCTCTGAGAATCATAACACAAACATACACTGCTGTGGTGTTTGTATGAACTAATGATTATTTTGTTCTTGCGGCCTGCCAGATTTAGGATTCCAAATCCAGTACGTACGTTTGTGTCCATCTAGGTCTGTTTGGTCTAAATTCCACTGTTTTGGGAATCCCTAGTTTGTATAATACTTCTAATTATCGCAAATTCACAGACGTCTCTATTAGTAATAACCCCAAACAGTTCCCCCATTTCCAACTTGAAACATACAACCTCCTTCATTACCCATAACAGGGCCAAGATTGATCATAGCATACCACAGCAATAGCCTAATTGGGAACCCATCTAGACACTACCTAAGTCAAACAGCTCTACGCAACTCTTCCTCTCTCAACTTGACATATACACTGCTTCATCCTCTTTTCGCCCTTTTCCTCTCGATAGTCTTGCCATGGGGTTTCCAAACATCGAAGGTGATAATCCCACACTTTCAAGACCATTCTTTATATACTCTGACCTAATAGGTGATGAGAAATCTTCCTCTTCAACGACAACAGTCCCTGGACTCAAAAGCTCTTTGACTAAACCTCCTTACGAGTGTCCAAAGATATCACTTATCCATTCACTTACTCCAATTCACTTATCAAACCTAAACATGCCTCTTACGACAAACTACCCTCAGACTACATTTTTCCCATTGACTATAAAGACAATAAATCAAACAAACATGAATATTAAGCTTATACCCTTTTTCTTTCTCTTCTCCCCATGAAAATCAAGCAACCCACTAGGTTTGTATTACACTCATCTACTAGAAAAATAATTACGGTATCTGACACTAATGTTAATCAGCGCTCGATCCGTACGAAAAAATTGACTCACCTGTCCATCCTGGTACTTTTGGACAATCCCTAGTTTGTTTTGACGATAAATTGTTGGTTGTCCTCTCATGTCACAGACTCGTACTTTCAAACAGACCCATGAGCTCTTGTATCGTGATGGAGTTACTAAGGATGATGGCGATGGTCATTTTATAAACACATCCAAAAACACGAGAGCGGAAGGCATAAGTGATACTGTCCTCAGCAAATTACCTTACTCAACACGGCTTACTGTACATGATGATGAATACAAAATACAATTTACATCCACTTATAAAATCCAAACACTCCTTGCTGAACTACAAGTTAGTTATTTGATAGGGCCGTCTCTCTTATTTTAGACTGAAAAATCATTCGTGGTGGTTTCAATCTTTCCACCGTCAACTGGAAGACACTCTGGTTCAGTGTATTTATTGTCTTAAACATACACGGTTGGAAGCAGCATGTACACCTGCCTTCACGAAACCATGATATTCCCGACTTCATATTCCGTCTCAATATCACTTGGCGCGCCATTTGAAACAAGCAGTGGTATTGTTTCTCGTTGAGTTAAATTTACTGTTTTCATTGTAAACTGCCACTGTTTCCACTTTCATTGAATTTATTTCAGTTAAAGTATTATCATACTTGTGTGTATCGACGTTGCTTTTGTGTATTTATTACAACAAAGCATACTTAATCGACTTTGACTTCATTTATTTTGGTTAAGGTTTGAGATTTTCTGCATATCCATTTTTGTGTCACTATTCTCAGTTAGCTTTTAAGATGGTCTGCTCCTCTCACAAATGTAGACAAACATATTGCACGTTTCCTGTAGCGAATGGAATACAATGCGGTGAGTGTAAGGAGTGGTATCACAAGATGTGTACTCGCTTAAATCTCAGGGCATATGAAAGGTGCCCGAAGCCTAACTCCCATTGACTTAGTGTTTTGTTGTTCGAGTGATACATTACTCGTCCGAAGAGACTATTAGACTTTGCACGTTGGCTAACGAAAGTGTTAATCTGGGCTGTACTCGTGACATGGGTACTGGTAGCAAAAATATGTTAGTGTCGTAAGTGCTGTTACAATAATATTTAACCCTATCGTAAATCATTGAATTCATTTCAGGTAAATTGATATTACACTTGTCACTTCATTGTCTATTCTGACCAGTCTTATCGTAGGAATTCGCGATTTTTGTTCGGCGTTTCTAAAGAGCACAATGAGGTTAGAGATAGACTAATATACTTATTGTGAGTAAAGGCAAGTTATCCTTTGTTGACCTTCTATTCATGTTAATTGTTGAATGGGCATTTTCCTAGTTATCTAATGTTCAGCTTTGAGGATTGTGAAAACATACTACTAGGAAAAGTGTATCATTTATAGATTATATATTTTAGGTTACAGAGCAATTCAACGCTATTAGTTGTTCCCATTGTTACTCTTGTAATCTCACAATTGTCATGCACTATTTTGACGAATACTTCCGCATCAAGATTTCTAATATAGCCAGGGAGCCCAAATTCAGTGACTTTTTTCAAGCCATTTTTGAAAGTGCCGACATCTCCGAGTCAATAAACCTGGACGTAATCTGAAGAATCAAAAGTGTTCAGCATCTAAACCGACACTGTCAATTCTCATATACTTTAAACCCGGTGAAGAGCGTGAGTCGTTATTGTAATGGTTTCGTTATATCCCGATTTAACAATCATGTACCATGATTGATATAAGTGATAAATCTGAAAGCAAAATCAGTTGATAAACTGACTAATAATCAGTTCCTCAAGCAAAGTGTTGTTTTCTCGCAGATAACTTTACGCATGACGGATATTTTCACTAAATTTGCCTTTCGGCTGCTTCAGCGGGACTTTGTCAACGTGGCTTACCGTAGCTATAGACTATTTCCTCATCATTGTAGGCTACATCTGTACTAGAAGTGACGGAGTTACAAATCGCATGGTTGAAAAGATAATGTTATATGCTAGTGATCACTTTTGCGTACAATATATCATATCGAGGGTGCGTGTCAGTGGTGCGTATCAAATAGCTTGTTGTATAATTAAGTTTAGATACGGGTTAGTGACCATATGAGGAATATACCGTCGTCTGTGTTGTCTTGCTGACGACTTTATCTTAAGACACAGCTGTAAAAGTGAGGCCAAATGTTGTCTCATTATTTACAATTTCAATGCATCCCATATCAACTGGAAAGTTCTTGCAGCCCAAAGTGGAGGTTTCGATTGCTACCTCCTATCAACCTCTATTCAGATGTGGCATTGTACAATGTATCGCAAAATTGACACACACTGACGTGATTCGTCATTGCTAGATCTTGTCCTCATATATCACTGCGACAATCTCATCAACATTCAGTACCTTCCTCACTAGCAGATAGTGATCACGTCGTACTTTATGTTTCGTACACACGGTATGCAAAACGTAACTGTTAGTCTAACCAGCGTAGTCGTTAAAATACTTGAAAAGATAATTTGGGATTAGCTACTAAGTCACATAGATTCATACAATCTGTCAACTCCCGAGCAACACGGGTTTCTAAACAAGCATTCATGCTCGGCCAACTTATTGCGACAGAGGATTGGACATCGGCGCTAGATAACAGTCCATCTGCCGATGCGACATGCATAGACTTTGGCAAAGTGTTTGACAAGATTCCACACCTAGGCCTCATATAAAAGTTCTGAGCTTCGGCATAACAAGTGGTGTACATGAACAAATAGGAAACTTCTAATGTGATCACAGACAGAGGGTGAGGGTTAATGGAACGCTATTTGATTGGAACCCAGTCAAAATGGCGTGCCTCAAGGCACCACCTTGGGTTCTCTACTTTCTGTTTCAATGAGATATCGCCACTTACTAAGTCAAAATCTGAAGGACAATGAGAAGTGAGGCTGATCATTCTGATCGTCAAGGAGACCTAGACGAATTAGTTTGATGGACGCGTGTTTTGGGCTTGGAAGTTGATTCTAGGAAGAGCATGCTCATGCACATTGGGCACGTAAATAGTTACAAGTATACTACTGATGGTACATTTCTTCCGTGAGTGCAGTAGCATAAAGACTTAGGAGTAATAATAAATCACGACTTGAAAACAACTGCATATTTCAACGCAGCAGCTACCGAAGGGTTCCGTGCGTTACCGTTACTTCACGAAGTGTTCATATGATTTAACGAGGGGCCGCTTTGAACTTTGTGTCCCACGTATGTAAAACTACACTTAAAATACTGTATCAAAGCATCTGTCTTATGTCTGATTACGGATACTAACTCACTTTAGCGAGCCTGTATGAACTAAATTAGTGAAGAGTCTTTCTAAGCTCCCTTACGATGAGAGCTTAAAACGCCCAAATCTTTTCTCCTTGTCGTATCTTCGGACGCTTAGTAATCTTATACTGGCATTTCATATTCTCAGTTGCGAATTGTGTGTTAATATGTCTTATCTTTTTGCTCCCTTCATCACTAATAATCTCTGAGATCTACTAAACCTGAAATGGGGTTCTGTTTTTCTCATCTAGTGGCCAATGACTGGATCGCCTTACCCAAACGAGCGGAATCAGCTCATCAGTGAACATTTTCAGAAAGCTGAACCTTCACTGGGAGGCAAACTGTAAGGATTAACATAGGTCCACCAATCTACTATCTTTATTACTGAAGACCGAAAACTAGAGACAACATCTGTGGTGGTTGTCGAAGCGCTTCACAATGGCGATCATAAAATAGTCCTCTACACTCTACCGATTCATGTCAAACGCAAGCAATAAATATGCGTTTTCAATATGGAGACTATGTGCACACTGACAGGGAAAACTTACGATCTCTAACAAACCACTCTGACTGAAGTAATTTCTTCACTAGTGACAAGTCTTCAGAAACAACGGGAATATTCATTATCACAATTAAATCAGTACCAGACACTACCATTTCCTCCAAAATGGCCTCTAAAACAATAGTTCCTTAAATCAACCAAAAAGTAGGTCTAGGCTACTAAAACTAAAAAGGATGTGTTGTATATGAAAAGACATCAGTAGCCTGCACCAAATATACTCTGTTCTTGAAGGTGTACAAAGTCAGCACAACAACTAAAAACAAGCAGAGGAACACACTGCGCTCACTACTGCATCAAAAACCCAAAACTTATATCGTCTCCTCGAAAAACGCTTAAGAAAGAGTGTAGATCACAGCATTCCTTTCTGTACGATGGTATGATGTATTATAACCAAACTGCCTTATGTGAACTGTTAAGTGGATGATTTTCCCATAATGAGGATACATTTCACGCTTCAGGTGTTAACATTAAGTTCATCAGTAAAAATAATTTTAGTACCATTAACTTTGATCTTAGTAATATACACGCCACCACCAGAACACTTAAGCCTAATGCAAGTTTTTGTGCCAATTAAAATCCCATCGGGGAACCGGACATACTAACAGTACTACTCGGAATATTCACGATATTCTGAGAGGCAGGTACATACCTCGAAACATGGAAGGTAACGCATGGTGCCCACAAACACGGATGGAGACCGAAAAACCTGATCCAGAACTACAATTCTATGAATATCACTCCAGTAGTATCACATATAATGTAAAAAGTTATACCAGATTAGTTATATTACCACCTACTTAGGGAAAGTCTGAACAACCCGTCACAACACGGCTCTGCTAGAACAAGATACTGCAGTAGATGGCTGACAGACAATTTTAACAAGGTTCCTCGCACACGTAACCAATAGAAACTAATGGTCGAACTGTATTTCGATACCAAGATAGCTTAAGATTAGGTACCTCATAACTTCCTAATCAATAGACGTTATTCAATTGAAGTTGTTAGTCCCCTATTGCATTGGGTTACGTCTTTTCTCAAGAACAGAGGCCAAATAATCAAAATTAAGTCTACATTATCTACGAGGCTACCAATAACCAATCGTATTATGTTGGGCGGTGTTTTGGTTTCTTATGCAGATGCTTCAACATAGGCAAGACCTGCCATTACGCTGGTGATTTTGAAGTCATCTTTAAAAGTAACATATGTGATGCACGTAGTACTATGCAAAAAATACAACATGAACTCAACAAGGTAGATAACCAGTTTAAGCGCTGGAGCTTAGAATTCAGCACAGAGAGATGAGGCTGGCTATGTATTGGAGATACGTCCCTTGAAATAAAACTGACATGTAACTAAGAGGTTTTACTCAAAATCACACCAGTAATAGACCTCAAAGTACATCACTCACACAGTCTTAACTTCTCTGAACATATCTTCTTCAGAGCCCCTAAAATGCAGAAATCGCAAGGCTACATCATTCGTAACTTTCTAAATGAACCTGAAATCATTTTTTACAAGATATGTGTTTGACCTAACGTTGAATATTGTTCGATCTTATGTTCCAACTTACGCCTATCTAATATGCTGAAAGAGCAAAGAATACAACGGCCTTTAAATCGCGAAATGCTTAAAAATGATTCACTTACTGATAATAGTACCCAATGTCAGATCTCAAGACTTGAACATCTCAGGAAAAGAAGGCTTAGGTCTAATTTGATTCTTTACTTTAAAATTCTTGTAAATCTTAATTATTCCACTTGTAATATATTCCTTACCCAAGGCCCACATGTATATGAATATCAAAATAAGGTATTACGGTCAAAGTTGAAAAATAAAGATCAAAAACTTGGGAAAACTTCCTCCTTAAGTACGGATCGACATGGAACAGTCTTCCCTCCAAAATACGCATGGCAGCTGGATTACATACATTTGTAAGACTTCTAACTGAAGCCCTTGCTTGCACTGATATAGTATGCGCGGACATACCTACATCCTACTGAGGCATCGTAGGCCCTCTATGTATATAGACCATGTAAGACTGAGTTTGATACCCCCTACATTCTTTCATTGTGGTCGTATGAGATAATTTCCCTACCTAATTTTTATTTGAAATAAACAGGTAGCTCACTGAACCTATGGACACTGCTCATCTACAGTCGATCGCCAAGGGGAGCTCAATATTACCCTGGTGAATAAATTTGTTTTAACTTGTAAAAGAAAAGATAATCATGGTAACCCTGTGTGAAAATTTCAATAGTTATCAAATGAGCATTGTAAATACAGAAGGTACACAACTTATCTTAATAACCCACTCCTTTCCTTAATGTAATTCAGCAGTCTTGGTTATTTTCCATTTCGATAAGGAATTATGTAAAACATTCAACAATAGTGTAGTTCGTCAGAAAAGTGTAATGAAAAGCTATGGAAACGGTCAGTCAGTTGGATTTGCTGATGAAGTGAGTGTCTTCTGACTTACCTGATTTCATGCATAGCTTTACGATGGTTTAATTGTTTAGCAAGCGTCTGATGGCTTTATAAAAATAGTCTTAGTTTTTCTCTAGTACTCAAGAAGAGAAACTCAGATTTTTTATTTGTGTAGTAAGGACAGAAGGCCTACGGCCTATGTTATTCCTTTTCTAGTATGGTTCTGTGGGTGTCCAGTCTGCTCTTGAAAGAGTCAATTGAAGGTGCGGACACCACTGCTTCAGGCAGCAGGTTCCAAGTATTGATGACTCGGTGTGAAAACCTGTATGCCACGGGTATTTTGTTCATTCTTGGCTTTTCTACTTGTCTGCTATGTCCTCGGGAAAATAAAGTTGAATTTTTAAAATAAATGTCAGTAAATTTTTAGTGCTCATTACTAACAGAGTAGATCCGCCCTCCAAAAGATTTTACGAAATATTTTATCCTAAAACCTAACTAACATAAATGAACACATCACTAGATGTTATCCATACTTAATTGACATCTACGATTTTTTCTACAGAATAGATTTGTGCTTCACAATTTTTATACCAGACTCAACATTTTCGGAAAGTTCCGCGTCACTTAAATTCCTGGAATCATAACCCTCAAGAAATGACGTAATGACTACCAACCTATCTAGTTTATTAATCATTTACTTCAAAAGGTTCTGGATGGAATTGGGCCTTCGCTTAACAGGCTACTGCATTTGATAACAGTAGACCACTGATGCCTAACTGGTAGACATATATGACTGATTGGATCAAAAGCTTTAGAGAGGTCAGGGTATATAACGTCAAACTTACCCTTTTTATCGAGGACGGTTGTCTATCTATCTACCACGGTTAGCAGGTTGGGTATACGAGAGTGGCCCTTCCTGAAACCATCCTGTTGATGTGAAACGTTTATGGATATTAGGCAGTCATGTAAACCGTCGCAAATCAGTGACTCCATATTTTTAAGGGTATTAAATGAAGTTTTGTCAGCTGGTGGCTTGGGATTTTGAAGTGGGACATAAGAATGTTCTCTTAAGTATATAATTGCCGGTTGAAACTTTACTGTATAAAGTCATAAAGTGTAAGGGCTGTATTGAGCGTTAGGAAGTATAGTGTATTTACGGAAAATTTACTATCACACCTAACAGACTAGTGAAAGCCTAGTACAATATACGTTTTAAGTGACAAATTAAATGAAATTGTATTACAGCTGTATTGTGCAACCAAACTCACGAGTTCCTGAGTCCATGAAGTTTTCCCTTTCTAAAACTTTCATTAAGGCTGTATCCACTAACTTTTTCAGTTTCTTTGCCTACAAAAGTTTGCTTAGGAGTATTGACAGCCGTGGGTCTGAAGAAGTGTGTCTAATAAACCAGCATTGTTATTTACAATCTTATAGGGTGTATATTACTTGATGCTTAACTTCATTGTTGTTTTATACAACATAAGACTTAAGGTAAATCATAATTGCTATGACGTGTTTAAGCAATTCCTTTCATCTTTGTGTGCGCATTTATTTAAACTCTTATCTTCATTGGTAATCAGAATTTTAAGAGCCCATATACTTATCCTGTAATTTAAAGCTTTCTGATAGTGTCAAAGCAATTAAACCTACTAGATGTAAGCCTGGATTTTTCCAAGTGAATCTTTAATATTTACAGGGTAAAGTTAATTTAAATGGACCCGCTGATACTTCGTTATTGATAAAATTACCGATAAGATCGGAATTAATGTTGGATGCATTGGATAGCATGAAAATCCCACCCCAAAGCCAACGTTGGTAAATGAATTGTTTAAATAATATTGATGTAAGGTATTAATCATACGCATTAAAGCATTGATAACTCAACGGACTTTTAATTTGGACTGAGCATTGCTATTCCATCCATTTAAGTATCCCAATATGAAACTAATAGTTTCTCATTTTTTAACTAGTTCTGTAATCTTTTTGGTAATAAGTCCCATAATTTTCGGAATTTTGACGAAGACTTTTCGGGAATTTCAGACTACTAATTCCCCGTTTATAATCTGGGGCTGACATAACAAAGTAAAATTTAATGCTTAACTTAGGCTTACAAATGTAACCAAATCAAATAGATGCTAAATGTCAGTGAAAAAAGAGCAAACAAACGATTACAACAGATGTAAAAGTATAAATGTTGGGTGTTTCCACTTTGAATTTCTTTTAATGTAACGGACACTTTTAGGGTGCTAGTAATAAATATTTCACATGTAACTTGTTACACATACTATTTAGTGTATGCAACCTTTGACTTTAAATCCTCATACGCAATTGAGTTTTAACTACTTCTAATAAATTTGGCTGACATAGTTTTACAAAAAGACTAAATGTTGTAAAAAAAACAATGGTTTAGGTAAACAGAAGTATCATTACTCAAAACTGTCAATTACCTTCAAATAAACACTACTTTTAGATTGTTTGTTTAAACGGTGACTGGAAACGCAATACAACGATTGGCCTTCTGCATTTTGATTCCGCTGTGGCGGCTCAGAGGTGGCTTATCAGCGATCCAATAGTTCGTCAGCACGACTGGTTGGATGATGCGGAAATATGGATTGTACCTTTATGTACGGAAATAAGACGTGAGTATTCTAAGCTGATTTAATTATTCTACAAATTTCTTTCGTGTTTAGACACTAAAAAACCAGTCTTTATTAAGAGTAGATCAACTAAAATAGGGAATAGACGGTATGGTTTAACCAAGTACAAGTTGGATTTAAAGTTGTATCGTTCTTCAGAGTGATACAAAGTAGAGATGGGTTATTTTCCGAACAATTTTCAATACCAGAAAATATGCAAGGTTGTTTAAGTGACAGTTAAAAGTGAAGATATAAATTAGTTACAATATGTCATCAAAGTCTTGAAATGAATGTCCAAAACAAATAATCAAATTAGAAAATACATCTATTTCAGAGAGCAAATATTATATATTTCAAATACATAAACCGAAAAACAGCATAATTTAAAGCATTTATAATGTCAAGATGTAATGAGTTGTTGACATACATTTGGGGTAGGTTAGACAGATTTCACTAAAATACAAAAGCAAGATAATGAAAATCCTTCAATATTCTTGACTTTCTGTAGATACCTTAAAAGATACCACAGACTGACATTACATACATATATACATATACATTTAAATTAATACAAAAACCAAAATTACTTATTTCACATATTTTTGCAGCATGGAATTACTTGCAGTTCAGTTTATTTAGCTCAATTAATGAAGACAACTTTAAAAACCAATATTTACCTAAATTTGAAGAATCAGTTTCAAAATTTGGAGGAGTACCATTTATTAGTTCAACTTCCTATATTGAAGTACCTCGAGGACTAAAAGAAATCGACTATTTAATTATTACTGGATGGCCCGATGACGATAGCTCTCTTAAGTGGAACCAAAGTCGTAAGTTGAAGCATAAGCTCATTTATAAATCAAACTAATATGAGTGGGTTTACTTTCTAAAGGAAATTTGATTTGAGCATACAGTGTCGGGCCTAAAATCAACCTGATCTTCATAGGCTTTATGTTCCTTAAATTTAGTTGAAGCTACAGGATTTTGAGGGGTTGAACAGCTTATCAGCGCATTCTTGGTAACTGATTATTTTGAGGTTGTATTTCCTTATACTTCTTCACTGTTTTGTGGATTGAACCTCAAGGTCGAAGGCTCGCAGGTCTGCTGTTTATGAAAGTGACCTGGTTCTGTCTGGATATTCAAGTAGTATCTTAACCTTCTCACAAATATAACAACGAATTGTTATGAAGCTGATCCACTTGCTCTGTTTGACTACTGACATGGTATATAATTACAACTCACTTATTTAAAGTGTTTCTATTTTACCAAATTCTATTTATCTGTTTCTTTTTTTCCAACTTGGAATAGAACAAGAGCTGTGTTTGGCTGTCCTTGGAAAGTCTTAAGGTTGATGTATGTTATCTATCAGAGCCCCGTATTCAAGACGCTAACACAGTATTGCACATTCACTCCCCACCAATCGAAACGCCTGTATCACGTGGATTTACCCATGAAACCCTTGCATTGTCGGGTTTGTTGGCATTAGTGCCTCATTGACCCCTAGGGTAGAAGCAATACTAAGCAATTAAACCCCCACTGACCGTCGTTTACATGTCCTGTCAGATCATAAAGCTCCATCAAAGTAAATAAAAACTGACGTGCGAAACGATGCCTTTTCGTAATCGCCGTTTACGCCCTAATACACTGCAACTAGAGTGCAATCAAATATGCGTTCTATCAATGGCTAAATGATGTCCTCAAGATAGAGCGTTTTATAGGTGGCGCAGTGCTAGCTGCATATCTGGATATCAAAATCGAGTGTCTGGTAACAGAGGAGAGTAGTCGAAGTGGCTGATGCGGAGTTGTAGATCATACATCAGATAACGATGTCCAACTCCTAAAGCTTTGTTCAGAGCACAGCCCATTTTCGACAAAGACGAAATTTCGGAATAGCTATCACCACTGTGCTATCTGGTGGCATCCTTCGAAAAATCAGACTTCGACTCAGATTGACTACTTTGGGACCATCTACTCTGGCGTGATTGTTTGCAAACTTTTTGCTCCTTTTAGAGCACTTATCTGGACTAATTATCCACTAGTTCATGCCAGTCTTATCCAACGTTTCAGTGGCCAACAAACTCACCATTTTAAAAGGATCGATATCAACAAATTGGCTCCATATTCCGATGAAACTAAATATTAAACCAAGCACAATTCAAGGCTAGCAGCTAACAACCCACCAAAAAGTGTAAATGACCACTGAGTTCATTTGAATGACACAATGAAAATAGCTAAAGTCGCTTCCGGCTTTGTGTAACATCCCACTTATAAGCGATGGGTTTCTACAGCGTCCTTACATTTCTTTGAACCATATCGGTCAACACTAGATAATCGCGAGTTCGACGAGACGTAGATTCCTACTTAGTGAAACTGTGCAGTTCGAGCAAAGATCGAGAAATCTGGTAGTCAGAGCAATCTAATAAGTTAGGAGTAGCATCTTCATCTGGTAATTACCGGAAGCTATTAGAACTCATCCGAACCACTGACACCAAGAAGCCTGATGTGAGACAATCTATGAAGTTGATAGGCCGCCAGTCAGTAACACCCAATGACATCTTGGAGTACGAACATAAGTCCTCGAGGGACTGTTCAACCGGTTTACTAACCCAAAAAGATCACTCTGTCTTCTTTCCCCGGTCCAATGAAGACTGATCCATCTAAAGAGGTCCGTACGGAACTCCAGCTTCTGAAGATCCACAAGTAGACAGGTCCAGATGAATTACCCTCAGCTCATCTTAAGGATGGTTTATTTATTTTAAGATATGGATGTAATACTTCAGCGAGAGTAGCTTTGCTCCATGGTCGAAATACCTGACCTCTTCGAATTCAGGATGCTAGACGATTCTTTGTGTTTGATAGTCGCTAGCTCTGAAGAATCACTAACATTCAGGAGTAACACCCCGTTAGTAATGCATAGGTTCGGAAACGCACGTTCGGATACAGTGATGATACCATCATCTCGAAACACCAGGTTTAGTGGCTTAGACATGTATTATGAACGCTATCCCGAGGAAGTCTACATCCTCCATTATTTGTCGACACTGGTCGGAGAAAGTCATGCTCAGTTCTTGACACAGTGCTGTGGTATGGAAGAAAGCTGTAAATCACTAGTATGTCGATCCTTCACGGCTCTGGTAAGGGTCCTAGAGATAATGTAACAGTGGTTTGAAACGTCGTGGAACAGCCCACAATATTAGCTATTGGCAGTCCTGCTGTAATTTTCTTTTACTTTCTTCATAAAAACGAAAGATTTTTAATTGAGTGAATTCTTTGATATAATTCTTTTAAATGAAATGTTCCTCACGTTATATGCTACTCTTGTTCACCTATTTTTACTCACTAATTGTTTGTTATTTTACATTCACTTACTTTTATCTGTCCCTTCACATTTTCTATTTGCGTGGCGTACACTTATTTTCGTGCTTATTTGTACCAATATTTGTATGCCCAAAAAAATAAATAAGTAGACGTTGAATTGTTGGAAAGACCCACATTTTCAAAACTACATTGGACACACTGATCGTGACTTATCTTCTCTTTTACAAACTAAGACGATTAGTGGACACGACCAGTTTGATGAAAGTCGCCCTTACTTCTCGTGTATCGAGACTACTAAGAGTTTTCAAACATTTAATTCCTTAGAGTCCCACGAAACACTTCATTTCCCTAATCTTTTGGTTTAGTTTCTCCACAAACTTCACTGTGGTTTGTATAGTTGACTCAAGATCAAATAGACTATCTTGTGATGTGCATACTTTCCATCGTATCGATTTTATGCTGTGCTGGAATTATGAAACTCCTACTTCACTTAACCCATGTAGATGCAGACTACTTGGTTGGGGTCCGCGTGGCAATCATAACCAATGGTTGGAGACTCTAGGTGACATGACTCATAATCGACCACAATGGCGTAGATGTATAAATATACTTTATACCTTCCTTTCTATGAAGTAATTCTTTCTTCCTATATTATATCGTTATACGCAATCTTCCCTTTATATATTACTACCATTGAAGTAACTAATATGAATTTAGTGTTCATCTTGTTGTGCTAATGAGGTATGGCAACTTGGACCGATGCATATATGTGCCTGGTCCTACGTTGTAACTGACTGACTGACTTTAACCCACCTACATGGGTTAATATTATATTATAGCTTCATTCTTTATAAGTCTCATAGCTTGCATTGAAACGCCATGAAACAGGTGTTTTTAAGACGGATCAATTTCAAACCCCTCCTCGGGCCTGCACAAAACATCACCATCGAGTTTTGATTACCCGTAGGAAGTATATTGCTGCTCCCACACTGATGCAGTAAGGAATACAACCTCGTCCTTGAGTCCGGAACTTGATTTTGATCGAACCTGTTGGGTATGCCAGAAACTCAAGGAACAAGTTTTCCAGTCAATATAGCTTAGTTGGGCCGTCCTAATATACAGACGGCAATTAAGATCAAACTAAGTTTGTGCATGTACGGTAATGACTTATGTAATGTGCTGATGAATGTGACAGATCAGATAATCGAAGCATTAATCAATAAAAAATCTTTAAACAATTAAAACCGTGCTCCTAATAGCTTATCACCAATAAAATACACGAATATGTTTAACTGAGTTTTGCATTCACATACAATGGTTTTAAAATAAAGGCGTGGTTCAATATTATTTAGGTGGATTACAATGAGCAGGCACATATTTGTAGTAATCCCAAAACGGCATGTTTTGCAAGAACATCCTAATATCTTAATCAATATCTACAATATAAGCTGCAGTGATGTATTGCCTTTTAACTAACACTTATTTTGCAGAAAATAACCGACTTTATACAGCAACATGACAAGAAACTACAAAGTACAACGTAATGAAACTGTTGTTCTGAAACACGAACAGCTGATATTAGAGAAACACTTAGGTGTTGAGACTTATGTATTTGTTCAATTAAAAAGGTGGCGAACACCAATGGGTCTTGTCGTCGTAACAAGCCCGAAGATTTTGAAATTACGTTGAATAATTAGTTAGATTTTATGCCTCAGTAATCAGGTCTTACCAAACTTTTATTCGAAATGAAAAACCCTTATCATAAAGATAAAAATAAGATATATAACTTTACTAATCACTTAATTTACTTAAACTTCGCTGGTCCATGAAACCATAGTTATTTTGCCTATTTCGTTTATACCTACAGATGAAGCAGAAGAACTAAGAAATATGCAGGAATCTTTTTCAAAGTCTTCGACAATATTGGCGATGATACGACATAATTACTAGTGCGTCATTATTAATGGTTCATATATGTACACAATTATCAAAGCATACTTGTAAAATAAACAAATGTTTGCAACAAGAGTAGCACCTGAAACTAAAAGTAGAAACTTCAAAAACAATCAACTCGACTTCCGAGACCGTTTGTGTACTTTACTGAATTACTAGCATGGAGAAAAGTGAAGATCTCATCAAATAATGAACATAGATAAGCAGTAACAAAATCCTTATTTGACTAATACACTGTCATAAAGCTCTAGGAAGAATGTCTCTTTGAGATATCACCCCAACCTCGTGAACTAACTAAACGCGTAGTCGGAGTAGCAATGAACATTTCACTCAAAGCTAAACAAAATAAAAGCTATGGTGATCTAAGCATACTTTTACCCTAAAATTTATAGGCCAAGACAAGTGTTCACTACAAGAAGTAATTTTCACAAATTATAAAGTTTATACTGGGAAATTTGGCCGAAGGATTATCTAAAGTCAGATTTACGTTCCTCAAACTTGAACATTAAATTCCTCATTTGATAGTTTTTAGTATCACACGTAAATAGCGTTAGAAAGGACACTTCAGACGTATAACAATTCGAGACTTATTTTATCTGAATAAACCAACGACAACGTCTATGGCATCAGTAGTGAATGAACTGGGTTTTAATTTTAAAGTCAATAAGATTTTCATTCATTTTCGAATAAACTACATATAAAACAAATAATAATAATAAGATAGTCTCGACAGCACTGATGCGTGGTTCGCTCACAATTTATGTTACCTTTTCCACAAAGCCCCCGAATGGTCGAGAATGGGAATAGTCATCTCTCCCTCTCGAAATGCCCTCACATGACCACGTCCATACAGCCAGTGCCAGGGAAGTCCTACTCACTGCCTTCTCTCACCAGTGTGTTGTTTTTGGAATTGAGAGGACGAAAAGCGAATGTCCTCTTAACTGGGTCGATGGATACAGACCCACCTAGGGGAGTTGGAAAACCCTCATTCTAAACTAATGGTGCACATGGGCTCCAGGATCCTGCGCGAACAAACGGCGCATGAACCAATTATTGGTCACCGGCTACCAAGGGACTGCATCTCCTTACGTTGATCCACTGGACTGGACCTCCAGGTCAAAGGCTCAGGGTGTGGCCCCCTAAGAAAACAGCTTGCTTTGGTTTGGGCACCCGGGCAGTATCCCAGCCCTCATATAAATCGAATGATTTATGTAGCGCATACCTATTTGTTGCCTTCTTGTACCAATGTTTACGTGTTTAAATAGATAAATTTTCCACAAATTGAACTACTAGAGGAAGATTACCCAAACAAGTCTTCTAGGGGTCATTTATCTGTGAAGCCTGAAATATCGATAACTAATGGGTAACTGAATAACTATCCTTCCTCCACCGACAGTTCCTCGTTACAAACTGCCACTTGGTGGTTATTCTGGGATATTAAAGTGTGCGACGAAACACTTATCATGCGTCAATAAAAACATGTTAACAAAAATGTGATTGATGTTGCAGACAACTACTCTACGTCTCACGCATTACAAGAAAGGGTCAAACAAGTTACCATATATATGCTTGTTCTCCAATACAAATCAAAAACAGTAATAAACGATAACATAACATTGCTGACAATACATAAATTGTTTGTATTTAAAATGATACGATAACATGTACATTGACTAGTTGATTCTCCCGTAGGCTTGGACAATATTTCATAGAATCAGCACAGATAGACATTCTTATTAGACACTAAAAAACGGAAATAAAAACTAGAAAATAGATAGGCAAGATGATTACGAAATTTTTATTGTGAACACCTCATCTCTACATATCTAACGTAACTATTAGAATAAATTTAAAAAGTAAATGTCTACTGGAGAAAACACGTAACTTATTTAGCTATACACCTTAAATTTAGCCGATAGCTTCTCCCAAAAATCATATAAACAATTATTTAAAAAACGGATTTCTGCAGCTCTAAATGAGGAATTTCAGCATAAGTATGTGTTCTGATTGGCATATATCTAGAATGAAGACCTACTTACCTTGGCAAATACATTATAACAAAGACTTCTGGCAGGGTGGAGACGTATGTATATCCAAAGGTTCATCAACTGCTCTAGCCTTATGTGAAATAGGTAACGGAAACGCACAACTTACTATAACTGATAAAGCATGCACACCAGACTGCAGTTCATGTTCAACTGATTTATACACTAAGCGTTCTCTCTATACTGATACATACTGATCGAATAAATCTTACCTGTACAGGAGAAAGATTATTAAAATGATGTGACACGATTACAACTCTGAAATGCGTCTCCTCACCTACAAGCATTGACAAAATGTTTGGGTTTTATGAGAACTTATATGCCTATTTTCTGGTTATGACGGTGACTTTCGTTATATATTCTAAAGAAGCTCGGCTGAAGAGTGAGGGAAAGTTGAACAATTTACATTGAACTTCTGAGATAAAACCAGGTTTAATCGCGATTCTACTGGACCGGCACTTGAAAACATGTATCTCCCAGTGCTATTTGACAAAGACGAAATTACTTTGTACAGCCCTGAAGAACTACCGAACAACATATTCACCTGTAGTCAGTTGTCTTTTTGGAATAATAATACAGTGATCTAAAATGCCGAAGTACGAAGAGAGGAGCTGAAACTGAAACGGAAAGGTACAACCAGAAGAATTCTTTCGGTTAGGGAAGATACAACCACTTTTTATGAAGAAAGTAGTGTTACTGTATGACAATTTTTCGTTTCACATAAGATATATAGGGCGAGGACAGACGATATTGTACAGAAAAATAAAACCTACTTAAAAAAACTGGTAGCGCGCTACTGAGTAGCATCAATGATATACTTCTAACACTCACGAAACACAAACTAGAAATTTCTGAGTTTTGGAGGACATCGAAACGGAGACAAATATACAGAATGCTTACAGTAAAACTTTGGGGTGATTTACAAGAAACTGGACCTTCAAGCAGTTTTCTCCCAATGTCCAGAAGGAATTCTTTCCTGCTAACGTAACTATTTTTGAGCAGAAATTTTCCTAAGTAACCTAACTTTCTCCAAAGCCCTTTAGCATGTACACCTTTTGTGAATGTAAAATAAATGCTTAAAACCCAATAAATCCATTTTCCCTCTGATAAGCTAAGTTTGAGGGAAAACATAGGATAACATCTATCAGATCCATACATTTGACGGAAGTTAGCCAAGGAAATAAGAGGAGCGTTACCGTACATATCATACACTATTTACACAATGCACTATAGAAAAACTGTGCAACCGGAAGAAAAAACGTATAGTAAATCGCTTACAACAATGTGCACATAGTCGTATACAAATAAAATGCCACTCGCGGATTTGATGTTAACTACTTTGATGCCCATTTCCACTTAGAGAGTTTTTTAAGATCCCGAGCTCCCAATTTTCGGGAAGCCGCTATAATAAATTTTGGGAAAATGGCACGAAAACCCCAAAATTTCCCCCAAACTTTGAGGATTTCCCCAAAATCTTACGACAATTTGGGGAAGTGGGCTTACATTTATTAATGAAACCACAATTGTGTAAAATTTTGTGGAAAAACGCAAAATTTCCCCTAACTTTGGAGTTTTTCCCCAAAACTTTTAAACGCAAAACTTCTCCAAAAATTTCTAGACATCACGGAAAACCTAGCGAGAATACATACGTACATTTCTTACTGGGATGTTACATTATTTTTCGTCAACTACGCATTGCCTAAGAAACTTTGCTCCTTATCAACGTTTCACATATCTTGACATTTCATTATACACAAAAAATGTTTTCTTCTAGAACATTGTGAATGATAGTTCAACATCAACGTAACCTGTTCCTCTTACGAAGCAATGAAAAACATTGTATAAATGATTTATTTGTAATTTCACTAACTGTAATAAACACCTTTATGTATCACAAATCAGTCTTTTATTAACAGCGATAAATCGATTAACGCTAAGTTTCTTAGGCAACGCGTAGTTGACGAAAAATAATGTTACATCTCAGTAGGAAATGTACGTATGTATTCTCGCTAGGTTTTCCGTGATGGTTCAAATGGTTGTGGACGGAATAGAAGAAGCTTTCGCTTAACAGGCTTCCGTGTCTAGTAGCAGGGGATCACCAAATCCTCCAGGCAGGAACCTAGGTATGTTAACAATAAAAGAGGAAAAGAAATTGGTAAATCATGATGTGATGCTGTCCTTGGTCCTTAAGAATAGGTCAAGTTGCCTCTTGAAGGACTCCTGAGAAGTTGCTTGGACTAGCTCGGCCGGCAGCGAATTCCAGCTTTTGACAACTCTTAAGGAGTAGAAGTTGTGTCTACATTCCGTCTTGCTATGTTGTGTTTCCAGTTTTTGGGTGTTACCCCTTAGGTTATTATTCGAACTAAGCTTAAGTAGGTGTTTAAGAGGATGTCCAGAAGTGTTAAGAATACTATAAGCCATTAGTAAATCACCTCTAAGACGCCTATATTCTAGTGGTGAAAGGTCTAGTGAACGGAGGCGTTCTTCGTAAGGCTTAGATTTGAGTCCTCGAACTGATTTCGTGGCTCGCCGTTGGATACGCTCCAAAGTGACCTTGTCCTTTTGGAGTGAGGGGGGAGTACTATGTTTCCGTACTCTAAATGGGGACGGATGAAACTATTGAAGATTGTATGGAAAGTTCGTCCGTCAAACTGTCCAAAAATGCGCTTCAACGTTACAAGTGCAAGGTTTGCTCGGAAGGCATTTTTGTCAGTTAGCGTAAGACTTTAAGTCATGGGGCACCAGGACTCCTAAATCTTTTTCGACTTGGGATACTACTAGAGAGGAGTTTCCTAAGTTGTAACTAGTTTGCAACATGTCGCAGATGGACTACTTTACACTTTGAAGTGTTAAAGGTAAGTCCGTTATCGTCTGCCCAACTTTGAAGTCGCGTCAGATCCTCCTGAAGTGCCTGTGTATCGTCCTGGTTGCGTATCTCTCTCCAAAGTTTCA